TTTTACTAATGTAATGTAATGTATTTAAATACAATACATGAAAATACAATACAATATAAAATACAATACACAATACACTTGTATTTACTATATTCGTAAGAGCTCTGCTTATTAATTAACTTATAAAGGATATTTTTATAGCATTATAATAAGCTAAAATTATAGTATTTTTTGGTTATTTTTATAAGCTTATAAGTCTACTTTTAAAGCCCTTATAATTACATATTACACTATAAATGTAATTATAGTGTAGTTAAACTACACTAAAACTACAAAAACTACACTACACTAAAAACTACACTAAAAAACTACATGTAGTGTAGTTTTTTTGTCAATGCTCTGATTGTATTTAAATATAATACACGAAAATATAATACAATATAAAATACAATACATAATACACTTGTATTTACTATATTCGTAAGAGCTCTAGCCATAGCTCTTTAATACTCGATCCAAATATACCAAGAGCACTAATCAAGTCGTGCCGGGTAGGCCGGCGATATTCGGGTCCTCTTCACTCTCGTGCGGCACCTTGGCTGATAGAAAGCTGCACTGGAAGAGGGTTAGGGTTGGTGGCTTAGGGATTAGTTAGCCTTGGGATATAAGTTAGTCAAGGCTAGGGTAAGCGGATTATAGTTTTTTGTCATGCAATAATCTGCGGTGCTACCTGCTAGGTAGGACGTAGAGCACCTCTTTGCTACTGGGAAATGGGAAGTTCCTTCACATCTACGCGAATGACCGTACTGTAGAGGGTCGGCCCTACTTTACCGTGTCAACCAAGCCCGATCCCAGCCCAAGGATCTGCTTTACCTTGTCATTTCGGTCATGCTCCAGTCCCCATCGATCTAGCCACATGCCTTTCTTCACATATGACCACCCCATTGGGGCTCCGGTCCCCCATTCGCTCGTCAGCTCATGAAGGACAATGGACCTCACAAGCTCATAGAGTTCGAGTATGGGGTATCCGTACTTGGAATCCTTCTTGCCCTCATTGAAATCGGAATTGCCAATGCCAAAGGGTTCAGTAGGCACTCAGCCTGGTTGACGGCGGACTGTTGCAGGAATGGTCGCGATATGACGATGAAAAAAAATAGACAAGGCATTAGTCAAAAGCACAGAACAGGGGGGGGAGGGGGAATGTCATGGTGAAAATACACACGTTATTGCCTGGGACCCTTTGTTCTGCTCTGTTCCACGGATCTCGTAAAACCACAGCCGCTCCACACCATCTCTAAGCCGGTACTTTCTATATTCGTGGTTCTTTTGACCCGAGCAAATGTTCTTGAAGTGATGAGGCTGGATGGCCAGCAGAACGTCTGTCGCAACGGGTGAGTCTCTTCCCTTGGCGGGAGCGGCAGGCCGTGTAATGGATCCAGATGCCTTGAAATGTGAGGACGGCGTGGTTTGCCTACTTTTCGGCTGGGTCAGTTGGGTACGTGTGGGTGCCATCTTGCGGAGGAGGCTGTTAGATGCGTTTCAAGGGCGACGCGCCTGCTAACCCAACGCGCATTCTCCGAGACTCGGACGCGTCGTAGGGAGCGGGGTCGACGGTAAGTGGGGACGCGGTGCTGTCAACTAGCCTGTACCGTTGACGTGTGTGGGGGGCCCAACGGGTCTGGTTTGGCGGGTCAATAGCACAAATGATCCGACTATAATACCCAATGTTGACATACTACCTAGGTAGGTACGAATGGTCCTAGCTGCCCAGTGTCTTTAATGTCAACTTATGTGAACATTGCCAACCTTTTGCAAGTCACCCGCATCTCTCTAGCAGTTGATCGGTTCTACACCTATTGCTGAAAAACACAATTGCCATCAAGCACCCTTAATGATTACCAAATACCCATGATTTCGACGCCTGCGAGGAGAATTACTGGCGGGCAGGCAGCAGTCGAACAAGCCATTTCTCCGCATCTACAGTCGCACGTTATAACGAGGGCTAATGACGCCTCACTTGTTGACACTGAAATAGAACAAGACCTTGGCGAAAGACGATTCACAAGAGCTATTAGGGGAGGGCGATGAAGAACCAGCCGGTGACTTGGACGACAATTTTGCCGCCACGGTAGTGCTTGCGATGGCGGGCCGGTTGCAAGTGCACAACGACGCTGGCGTTTGGTGCTTGTGGCCGAAGTGGTGATGATGGATCCGCGGGTTCTTAAGAGAGGCCGAGGAAGTCGTGGACGTAGTCCGGAGGTATATTTTCATCAAGTATAGTTTCCTGGTCGCGATACCCCTCAATCGAATGATGAAGGAATTGAATTAATACACGAATTTCTCAACAGCGCCGGCACGAACAGGGGCCTCGGCCAGCTATCGTGATGCAGCGTTGCATTGTCATCATTCTTCTTTTTTTTAAAAAAAAAAAAATGACAAAAAAATAATTAAAAATCGCTATTGGACCCTGCGAGTTGTATGGGAAAGGGGTAATTAATAGAGTGGATAGTTGGAAGGACCACTCTAGAAAAAATCTAATGCTACCGGTATTACCAGTTAACCACAGGTTCGAGCGGAGGAGCACCAGTTGACGGTATGTGGCCCCGTCTCCGTCCGTCTCCGGCCATCTTGTACACCTACCCTGTAGATGAAGTGAAGCAGATCCATGTGTTGCGTGGTCAGCTCACAATGCAGGCTTGCCAGGAAAAAACTCTCTCTTCTCTCTTTCCCCTCCTTCATAACCAGGTGGTTGACTAACCATTAGACGATCAGGGTGGTTGGGGGTTGCAAAAGGCATAATAGACCAGAGGCATCTAGACCACACGCTGCACGAGTAGCAGGCAAGCATCTTGGGCCACTCGGCAATAGCGTCTCATGGTTTTTAAACCTGGCAAATGGATGGCAGCTGTGTTATCAGCGTTGACGGCCTTGTCTCGACTACTGCACGTCCTTCTTCAACCCTGCATGTGCATCGCTTGGCGCGGCGACGGGTGGTTCTTGAATCGTCTTGACAAGGCCAGCAGCGCCGGGCAGCCGGCTGATTGGACCCGAAAATGCTCTTCAACGCGGGTCGAAATGGTGGTGGTGGCTCTCAACAAGGATACAAGATGTGCTTATCTGGTTCCTGTATTGTGCAATACATGACCTCTTCCATCGTTCAAGGAGCCAGCGGTGATACAGGCCAGGCCAGGGCAAGGCAGGAGCAAGGGAGCGACAAGGAAGGGGGGGAAACGAGGGGCTGCCCTTTTGACGCAGATTCACACATCTGCTAGTGAAAGCCCGCTGCCATTTGACGGCGTGATCGTCGTGATGGGCACGGCACCCATGATAGCGCGGTATGGAGCAGGTGGCTTTGCCATGGCCCGCTGCTCAACGGTTCATCATGTGAACCCGCCCTTTTTTTTGGTTTTTGCAGACTGACGCAGGTTGGCCAGGGCGGACAGACAAAAGATGAGGGACGAGGAGATGCAACCAGACAGGAGAGACAAAATAAAGGCCCTTGTCTTGATTCATGCACGGACAAAGAGAACAAGGAGAAAGGCAAAATTCGCCAATCACGAACCGATGGCCGTTTGGAGTCTTTTGCCTCGTCATCCATTGATCCGTTATCTGCATGCATCGTCACCCTATCGGCTTGCGGATTCACTCCGTGGCTCACGCCGTCACTTGGGCCGTCAATCACGCGAGACGACACGCAGTTCCCTCCCCCTCCGCGTGCCGCCCGCGGTGCCGCCCGCCTCAGACCATCGACGTGGCTTTCGCTGGCCACTGTTGCCCGAGAGGACCGTGAACCATTTCTGGACGGGGGCCGCGTATGTATGTATGCATTAGATGACGACCACCAGAAAGACCCAGCGTGCCGGTACCGAGGGTTGCAAGTGCATCCATCCAATTGAAGCATACGTGTATCAAGGTGTGTGGAGATTTGATTCCCCCAGGTTAAAGTGCGCTGGGCTGGCCACTGACATGAGAGGTTGAGACACAAGGGAACAAAAAAAAAAAAAAAGATAGAACCAAAGACGAGAAGAACCATGCAAAAGGCCGAGTCAAACGTCGAGTGAGACCCGGGGGTGGCGCCAGCCAAACAACGCCGTGCGTTGCGGCTCCATGTTTGGAATTCGTCACTTTTGTTTTTAACCCTTTGGTTCCTTTTCTGCCCTTTTGTCTACTCTTTCCCCCCATTCTCTTCATATTCCCTCTTCTTTTGGCTTTTTTTCTTGGCTTCTTTTATTTCTCTGCTTCCCTCTCATGAAGGGTCCGGGGAGTGCAGCCCAACAGGCGTGTGTTGCTCTCCACCGCTACGGAATAGACTCTTATTTTCTTGTACGGAGCTTGCGTGTGCAAGCAGACTGTTGGCGGGATTCTGATCCGCCGTCGACTACCGGTTGGCCCTCTTATATATATATATATATATTTTTTTTTTTTTTGTTTTTTTGTCTTCCTCCGATTGCACCCGTTAAGCCTCCGGAACCGTCGAGGCCATGGAGCGTGGCTACGTGCGAGAGCTGGATCTGAGCAACTGCGGCCCGGCATCGGTTGCCACGCGTGTCGGCGTCGTGCCGGGGCTGCGCAGTAGTGCAGGTAAGCCGGGCCTTCGTTCCTTTCTTTTTTTATTTTTATTTTTCTCTTCATTTTATATAGAGCATCCAACTCTCGTCGTCTCCTCTTTTTTCCCCCACGACCTGCAACGGCGGCCAACATTGCCCATCCTGCTGCGTGCCGTTGGTGACACAGCTCGACTTGACACGTCGAACTCGAGGTGGATGCCCTGCGGGCCCCGAGGCGGTCTGGAGCTTGTTTTGGCTGTTTGGGGAGCTGCACCGGAGCTGCCCACATGTCAACCTCGCATCGTGTGGGCATCTCGACTCGACTTGAAACCAGCCGCTGTTGTCTCACGACCACCCCGTGGTGCCTCGAGAAGCCCAGTTTTTTCGTTTTGCATCTCGTATTCATGCATTGACGAAACAAAACATTCTGTTTGATGCCGCTGCCGTCGCGCCCACCTGTCACATCGCTGTCGCATGCATCCATGCCGCCGTTGGCACACACAGACAGACAGGCATGGACGGCCACGGAATACCACCACACCTCCGCCGCATGAGCGGTAGCTTAATCTCATGCCTGCACTCGCTAATCCAACCTCCATAGCATTCTTCACCTTTCTGCGAGCAAACCTCGCCCTGTCCCCGTCAGCCCTCTCCTCCAACTACAACACGCCGTATCTGGAACCCTTTTCTCCCCAACCGCCTCCGCTCCAGCCGCCGTCGCCATCTCCTCTCGCTGCTTCCAACGAACCGCCTCTCGCGCCCATCGACGACATCCCGCCCCTGTCCCTCGATGCCTTGAAATCCCAAAATGACAAGCTCGACGGCCTCCGCCTCGTAGCCGACTCCGTCTCCGAAATGCGCCACCGCGCCTCCAAAGCCGTCGTCTCGCACCCGCTCTGCCTCGCGGCCGTCGCAGCCGCCCACATGGCCATATATCAATTCGTCTACGCACCAAACAGGGACTTAAGTCGAGCCCTCATGCTCGTCAGCGGCATCTCAATCATCTACGTGGCCGCCATTCGCTTCCTCACAAGCGGCTACGACGCGCTCGCGGAAAGGATGGGCAGTGAGGACTGGCTGCGCGCCGACTTTGGCGGCGAAGACGACATTATTCTTGGCGCAAAAATTGGAGAGGACCTGGTTGGCGCCGTCGTTTTGCGGCTCGAGCCGAAGCGGGCGGCCGCCACGAATCTTT